TGTGACCCTCACTCGGGACTGACCTGCCGGGTACCCCTTCCTAGCTGCATCTTGCTCGGGGCCATCCCCACCGGCAGACCTGGGTCGCAGCACCCTGGCCGCCCTGTGTGGAAGCCCCACTCTTTCTTTCTGAACGCGGTGCTCTCTGCTTCCATGTCAGAGCATTTCCCTCCAAGGGGGAGGGGTGAACCTGCACCCTCAGGCCCAGGTGCCCCTGGGTGCGGAGAAAGCCAGCCCAGGCAGGGGAGGGTGCGGCTTGGGGCAGGGAGGAGGCGGTGGAGCTGGGAGTGGTTCGGCCCCAAGCAACCCGAGCCTCTGGGCACCTGCTTCATTCTGGCCCAGGCTGCATGGGGGTTTCCAAGGCTGGGGTCAGACTGGTAGACACGGCCATTAGCAGAGATTCAGGAAGAGGAACTGGTTCTGGGAAACCATCTGCGTGCAGAGCCCAGGGGACTGGCTGTGCCAGATTCTCCTCCAAAGGTTGGGGGTAGGGTGCTCCCACAGGGCCATTTTTCCCATGGCCTTTGGGATGAGGGCTTTTCGGGGGAATTCCAGATGCCCCCGGGGCTGCAGCTGCCAAGCTCAGCCTTCTCAGGAAGCCTTGCTGGCCTGGGCTGGGGCTGACCACTGAGAGGGCCTGGAAGCTGGAGCAGCCTGGAAGGGACGCCCGCCCTCCCGGTCCTCTCCCTCCCCGACGACTGATCTCCAAGACTTCAATTGTTGAGATTCTGGGATTTGCAGTCAGCCCCATGGGCTGGATCATAATTAGTTCAGGGGTGGTAGCCAGAGGGAAGGGGCTCTGGGTGCCATGTGCCCTCAGCCGTCACCTGCAGGGATGGTGGGAGCAGGCTTCTGCACCCAGTCCTCAGACCTGGCTCTGCTGGCCGCTGCACGGAGCCAGGCAGGAGAGAGATTCCGAGAAGTCCCACCGCGGACCTGCCTGGACTTCCCAAGCATGCCAGGGGCTGTGCAGGTGTGCAGCTGTGAAAAGCTAATGTCTCATTTGCTGTGCAGAGCCAGCGTGACGGGCATTAAACTCACACTGCCATGGTGCCGCAGCCAGGGACCGGTCTGGACGCCGCATCCCCAGGGCAGCAGAGGAGTGAAGTGTTGGCTCTTTCCCTGGGGAAGTGGGAAGGCCCAGCTGTGCCCGAGAGGCAGAGGTTCAGGCTGAGGGAGGGAGTCAGGTGTCCTTATGATCCTAGGAGGTCTCCTCGTGTTGTGGCATGCCTGCACATGTGCACACGCTACACACATGCACGCACACATACGCACATGCTACACACACGTGCACGCGCACATACACACACCCACGACCCTGGGACAGCCTGGGGCAGGGTTGCGTGGCTCCATGGCACAGTGTCGGGTGGACATAAGGGAGGCCCTGCTGGGCTTCTGCGGCTTTCCCTCTGCCGAGATCCACGGCAGAAGAAACGGGCCAGTCTGCGCTGAGCAGGATGCACGGAGTTTAAACATGGTTCCAACTTCTCAAGCAGCTCTTCATCATCTTTGTTCTACCTGACACAGCTGAGGCTGGGGACACTCTCCAGACAGCCCTGTGGCTCCTGGGGACCTCGTCCCAGGAGACTCGGTGGATTGTGTTTGGGGTACCGGGGTCTGAGTGCCCCGCGGTGGTCTCCTGCTTTCTGTGACTTGAGCTCTTTTCTGGCAACTGCTTTTCGATTTTCTAATATTTCGTATTTGTGTAAGAAACATTTTGTTTTTAGGACCACAACTTGCTCTTTTTCCTAACAGCTTTTTCCCCATTTGTCACTGACCTGTTCTCTTAGGTGGCTGCATGTTGGTGGGGGGGGGTCCCAATCTTTGGATTGTTCCAGAGCCCAAGGCTGGCCTGGCCATGCCACTCAGGAAACCACTGAGGAATTCAAATGAGAGGGATGTTTTCTGGGAATACACTTGATCCTCTAAGATCTGCGTAAAAAGAAGACCGTGGTGCTTGAGCTGTAATTAGTAAGAAATTATTGGGGCTCCTCTTCACCCTGGCCTGGCTATGGGAAGTCAGAAGAGAGTGTTTGATCACTTTTACATCAGCAGCTTCTAATGATGAAACATTGCCTCCCTTGTTATCCGAGGGGCAGAGTCACACAGAGTTTCTCTGTGGGGCATGTTCCACACCAGGGCTTGTTGGTCCAGACCCCTCAGAAGGCATCGACAAGTGGCTGGGACAGGAGGGGGCCTGCCACTGTGGCACTGGTGGTAGATACGTGGCTGGGAGAGGAGGGGGCCATGCTACTGTGGCACTGGTGGATGCCTGGCTGGGGGAGGAGGGAGGCCGCTGTGGCACTAGTGGATGCCTGGCTGGGGGAGGAGGGAGGCCACTGTGGCACGGGTGGTGGATGTGTGGCTGGGGGAGGAGGGAGGCTGCTGTGGCACAGGTGGTGGATGCGTGGCTGGG